ACTACAGCAGGCTTCAATTAAAATCCCGTCAACAGAAGCCCACCGAATCACTCCAGGAACTCGCCACGGATGTTGAAAGGCTGTCCCACCTCACCTTTACGGAGTGCCCGAGAGAAAACCTGTCCCTGTAGTACTTTATCGATGGCATCTGGGATCCCGAAATACAGAAGGCTCTACGAATGGCTGATGTTAAAGATTTAAAAAGCGCTCTAGTGTACACCATGAAATTCGAAGCAGCCCAGTAAGCAACTCGTAGAGACCGCCACCCAATCAGAGCTGCTCAAGTTCAAGAGCCAAGGGATCAAGTCACTGTTCGTCTAGACGATATAACCAGACAACTGAATGCCTTGAGACGAAATATCAGTGACAAGAAATCGACCTTAAAATGTTGGAACTGTGGATCTGAAGGACATATGCGATGGAACTGCAGAACGCCCCAGGGCACGGACGTTAAGACCGCTCCTAACAAACAGGAGGGAAACTAATTAGTGGCCATCTCGCAGGGCGGGAGGTTGCCAGATAATGAAAAGCCCCAGTTTAAAGCGCTTCAGATTTCTGCAGTGAGAGGCGGCAGTAATGGACTTTCCTTAATAGGACATATTAAAGGAGTTCCCTGCAAGATAGATACAGAAGCCAACGTTACCATCATCCATAAAGATTTGGCTCAACAACTGGGAAGCAAACTTATCTGGACGCTGTCCTGACTGTGTCCGGTGAGATCAACATCGACGGTAAAGTAAACGTTAACATCATGTTTGGAAGTGTCGCTTACCATCACACGGCATATGTAGCAGAGATCACTGATTCTTGCATACTCGGATTGGACTCTCTAAGGAAATACAATTTTTCCCTGGACTTTAAAAATGATGAATTGCATTCTACATCTGAGGACATAGCCCTATTCGGAACTAATGATGGAGTGAAATCTATCCACAAAATTATGGCTCAAGACGATATCACAATACCCGCAAGAACCGAGACTTCCTGGATCCATAGCCGAAAATAGAAATTTCCGCTACGCCATCATAGAATATCCCAATAACTGTAAGAGCCCGAAAGGAGTACTAGTAGCCTCAACACTCGTGGACCTATCCAGAACGGTTATTCCGGTGAAAGTCGCCAGTGTAACTGAGAAGGCGAGAGTTATTAGGAAAGGTGAAGTGGTTGCAACATGTACTCCAGTAACCAGCGTTGAAAGAAAGAGTAACATCCCAGAAGTATCCTCAGAGAGCATTACATCGGAGTTATTGCAGAATGCGCAATTAAACAATAAAGAGAGGAATGCTGCCGATCACGTCATTAAAGATTTTCTAGTTGTTTCCTTCCACTCATCTTCTGACATGGGTCGAACTAGTTTAACACAACATAGAATAGATACTGGCGATCATCCCCCGATCAAGCAACATCCAAGACATCAACCGTTTGCTAAACAGGAAGAGGTGCGAACACTGTCAAAAGATATGGAAGAAGGCGATGTCGTCGAGCCTTCATCAAGTCCACGGGCATCTCCCATCATTCTCGTCAGAAAGAAAGACGGCTCAACAAGATTTTGCGTTGACTATCGCGGGTTGAATGAGGTTACGAAGAAAGACAGTTACTCTCTTCCTAGAATTGACGACATTCTAGACACTCTTTCTGGAAGCAAGTGGTTCTCAACACTTGATTTAAAGAGTGGGTATTGGCAGGTAGAAATACACCCTGATGACCAACAAAAGACGGCATTTACTACGGGACAAGGGCTTTGGCAATTCAAGGTGATGCCGTTTGGACTGTGTAATGCGCCGGCAACATTCGAACGCCTCATGGAGACTGTTTTGAGAGGTCTTTCCTACGAAGCCTGTCTGATATACCTGGACGACATCATCATCGTCGGAAACAGTTTTGAAGAACATCTAGAAAATCTTAGGAAGGTGCTTCAGAAATTGAAAGAAGCCAATCTGAAGCTGAGTCCCGCTAGATGCAAATTGTTCCGAAAGGAAGTGACTTATCTCGGACATGTCATCTGCAGAAGGTGTGTGCATGGATCCCGAAAAGGTGTCAGCCGTTAAATAATGGAAATGTCCCGAAAATGTTCATCAGCTGAGGACCTTCCTAGGGCTTTGCACCTACTATAGAAGATTTGTGAAAGACTTTTCTTCAATCGCAAGACCCCTTCACAAGATGACAGAGAGCAAGCAAACGTTCTTGTGGACAAAAGAATGCGAGGATGCATTTAACAACTTCAAGGAAGCTTTAACATCTGCTCCAATCCTTACGTATCCTCAGCTCGACAGACCATTTATTCTCGACACGGACGCGAGCAATGAAAGTGTCGGTGAGGTTTTGTCCCAAGAAATAGACGGCCAAGAATGTGTAGTGGCGTACTGGAGCAAGTGCCTGTCTACACCGGAGAGGAATTATTGTGTCACCAGGAAATAGTTGCTCGCCATAGTCAAAGCTGTAGAACATTTCCATCATTATCTCTACGGCAGAAAATTCCTCCTTCACACGGACCATGCCTCATTGGCCTGGCTTTTAAATTTCAAGAATCCTGAAGGTCAAATAGCCAGGTGGATACAGAGACTCCAAGAATATGATATCACTATCCGTCATCGTAAGGGATCATCACACGGAAACGCCGACGCCCTGTCTAGACGACCTTGCCCAGAAAGCTGACGATATTGTTCCAGAGTGGAAGTGAAAAACCAGCTGCTGACTCCGGTCACAAGACAAATTGCAACATCAACATCGGCTGATCGAGACCCGTGGAGTGATGATGAAGTCAGGAAAGACCAGCTGGAAGACCGCGACATTAAACCCATAATTGATTTAATGGAGTCATCAAACAGAAAACCTACTTGGCAGGACATTTCTATCTGTAGTCCTACAACAAAACAATACTGTGCACTGGGATTCACTTCACATTCGAAACGGCGTCTTATACCGGAAATTGGAATCGGATGATGGGAAGACGTTCTGATGGCAACTGATATTTCCAAGATCCCGGATTCCTGATGTCCTTAAAGAATTACATAACAGCCCTACAGGAGGTCACTTTGGAATTATGAAGACCTTACAGAGAGTTTGTGAGCGCTTTTACTGGAATAATGCAAAGGATGACGTGCAAAAGTGGTGCTGATCTTGCGATGCCTGTGCAGGTCGGAAAGGACCAAGGAAACGCAGCCGAGGCAAGCTGCAACGTTACAACGTAGGTGCGCCGTTTGAACGTATCGCCTTTGAGATCTTGGGACCTCTGCCACGAACTGCTGATGGCAACAAATACATACTCGTTGTCATTGATTACTTCATCAAGTGGCCTGAAGCGTATCCTATTCCTGATCAAGAGGTGTTACAGTAGCTGAGGTGATGATACAGCACTGGATTTCCAGGTTCGGAGTGCCTCTTCAGTTACATTCCGATCAGGGAAGGAATTTTACCTCGGTAGTAATCAAAGAACTATGCGAACTACTCGGCATTGACAAAACCCAAACGACGCCATTACATCCCCAGTCGGATGGCATGGTAGAGAGGTTCAATGGAACCATCCTTAATAACCTCTCATTAGTGGTTTCCAGAAACCAACAGGACTGGGACAAAAAATTACCACTCTTTTTACTGGCTTACCGCAGTGCTGTCCACGAGACTACCGGCTATTCTCCATCACAGATGCTCTTCGTCGTGATCTTTGTCTGCCTTGTGATCTATTGTTTGGCCACCCTCCAGATGCTCCTTCATCGTCTGAGGAATATATTCAAGATCTCCAGGCCTGGTTCGAAGTGATGCACAACTTTTCACGAAAACGAGTCAACTTGGCAACGGAGAAGATGAAGACCCGATACGACACAAGAGCTACTGAACATCAATTCCACGAAGGAGACAAGGTGTGGTTGTGGAATCCGACTCGACGGAAAGGACTTTGTCTGAAATTACAGTCACCTTGGGATGGCCCGTACACAGTCCTAAACAGGCTGAATGATGTCGTGGTTCGGATTTGTAAGTCTTCGAACTCTAAACCTAAAGTCGTTCATTATGACAGGTTAGCTCATTACTATGGCCATAGTATGTAATGTAAATAATTGTAAATAGTATAAGACCATGGTCCTTTTTGTTTTTAAATCTGTATTTGATTTGATTTGTATTTAGTATTTGATTTGCATTTAGTATTTGATTTGTATTTGATAGCATTTGATTTTTTTTTATTATTGCATTTATGCCACAGTTGTAAGTTTAGCTTCCTGCCCAGGGATTGTACTGCCCGGGTCGTGCAGTCCTTGGGAAGGGGACAGTGTTACGAATTTGGTATTTAAAAAGCTAATGTTAGTTCAATTATAAATTAAATGGTTTTATTTCCCGCGCAGTGCAGCACGTGATGAATATTAAAAGAATAAAGCTAAGCCGTAAAATTAAAAATACAAGAGCATGTGCATTTAACATTAAATAAATAAATATGTCTTTTTGATTTGGAGAAAGTACCAGAAAATTCTCGCACGCGATTTAAAAATCTTATAAAAGGAGGAAAAACCTCTCAGTTTGTAGTAGTTACTTAGTTTGTTGTTGTTTAGAAAACTGCTCTTGTTGATTGTAGCGAATTCACGGATTAGCTTTCTTTAGCTGTTTTGAATTAAGTTCTATTGAACGTTTGAGTAGTTAGAAGATAACTACTGTTGTATATTGTGATACTGCACGATTATTTGAGGACATTTAATAATTTTTATTGTGATAATAATAAAATTTTGTCCATTTTTCATCAGACTTGTGCATTTATTTCGTAACGAACACGTACGCACGCAACAATTTTTGACACCACTGATTTCAATTAGTCAAAGTAAAATATTCAACACATAATTAAATGCAAATTTACAAAAACTGCTTTTAAAAGATTAATTAAAATGAAAATAATTAAACATACAAATTTAAATATCCATTACGTTTATGTACATATCCATATGTATATAATGAATTTACATATGCATGCATACATATATATATAATGAAATATTATACTTAGTGGTATTACCTACCTGTATTACATTTTCAAAGGTTACATTCATTTCTAGATTTTGTTTGCAAAATGCCTATAATTAATGAAAACAAATCCATATCATATAAAACTATTATTACAATTTAGTTCCACATAATTTTAATTCATTTTTACAATAAAATAAATATATTACAAGAAAGTTTTTGAACACAAGCTGATAAAGGTTATTAGCAAAATTACTTATATTTTATTTTAAATATTTAATTAAATTTTGTGCTTATTTTAGATTTTAAATTTCTAGATTACTTTATTCTAAAACCTGAATTAATAAGCACAGTTGTGTATTCTAGTGTTAAAAGAATATATTAATATTCATTTATATGATGCATACAATACTACTAAATGCATCAGCATATAAATTACTAATATTTACCACTGCATGAACCATGTGCTAAATTATAAGACTTGATAATAAAAACATTTGTAAAAATTCCATTAACTATAGATAAAAAAGAAGCATAAACAAGCTATGAAATATTATCTGAATACTTAATTGTAACATATTTAATTACATTTAAAATAAAATGAGTCTATTAATCACTTGATTATTATAGTTTAAAATTGATATGAGTAACTGCAGATTAAGTTTTTTTTTTTTATTCAAATTATTTATTATTAGTAGTAGTACACATTTTAAATAGGAATTCATGCAAATTTTTTGTTAAATATTACATGCAGAAAACTGGAGGAAAAATTATTATGAGGTTCTAAGTTCAGATATTTATTCTCTTTCATCAACAATAAATAAAAATACTTTTTACAGTACTGGGACAAAGAATAATTTCAGTATTACATGGAGATATATATTTTTCATAAACAATTTTACACAGAACATATGGTAACTAGCAGATACTTTACTTAAAATTTTAAAGCATAATAATTCACAATATAGAGGTGATAAAAAAATTTCTATTTGATGATACTGGGGTAACCTATGCAATAACTGTGTCCAAGGTGAGAAAACATACTGGCCACAATTACATCAAACACTTAATAAAATACTGTTGCCCTCAGATTTGTGTGAGGAACTTGTAAATGCACATATTGATGTTCCCATGCTAATAAATATTCCTAAAATAAATCTATGTGCGATTACAGTACCTCCTGCTTATTAAACTCACTGGCTAATAAAATAACTACTTATTAAGTTCAATTTTTAAAGGCCAAAAACAAATATGTATTAATCAATAGAAAAACCACCATTTATTAAACTCATCTCCACTGCTTATAAACGCAGATTGGCAAAAGACTGATTCTTCAGTACCAGATTATCCAACTTATCAGAACTGTTGGTAGTTTTTCTGTTTAACTTGTTGTGGAGCATGGCTTATTTATTATTCAGGTATGTAGTACTTAAATGAAATCGATCTGACTGGAATTTTTCCACCCTAGGATTCTGTATCTGTAAGACACTTTTACAGAGATCTTTGCTTGCATTTGACCTCAGAGGAGCAGAATTTCTTTATTTTAAGGTTAACAAAAATAGTCAAAAATCTAGAGGCATTGCAAATGAATGAGTGTACCTTCTCAAATACCAGCTGATAGAATGAAGTGCAACTTCTGCATCTCAACTTTTAAGATTTCCACATTCCAGATTTTCTCTTTGAGATATATATGTTACCGTGAAAGACAGAAATTGGAGAATGTCGACTTTCACCAGAGAATATCAACATTCACCAAATACGTCGGTGAAAGACCGAATATTTCACTACGTTCTTGAATATTCGGACCCTCACTGGTGTATGTCGACAATCACAGATATGCTCTGGTGAAAGTTGAAAAGAGAGGTCATAAAGTGCCATAATAGTTTAAGTTGTTGCAATAAATAAGATTTGAATCACATAATTTAGTAAGTTTTTTATTACTGTTATTTTACTTTCTCATTTAGAATGTACTGTATAATTAAGTAAGTTTTTAACTTCTATTATTTTCCTTTCTCATTTTGAATGTATTGTGTGTTTTAGGTTCTCATGTTCTTAAGTTCTTATTTCAAGTCTCAAGTGCGTTTATTCGTGACTGAATTATGGAGAAGAAAATATAATATTGTTATATGTTCAACATTCACCATTAGTACATGGTGAATGTCGACATTGACCGGTGTAAGTCAGAAATAAGAGTATTTGGAAAATATTTCGGACATACACCAAGAGACTATGTGAATGTTGACATTCACTGGTGAAAATCGACATTCTCCAGATTTCGGTGTTTCACCGTAACATATACACTATGTTCAGAGAGAGTTCTCAAAAAAGTTCCTGAAATGCTTCTTAGGATTACTGTATATTAACAGTGTCTGAATAGAAAGCGAATGGTAATTGTAGACTGAAGGAAAGAAAGCATTGGCTATGCCCATAATCATGGCTTATTGATTAAACAGACAAACTGCAATCTTTCTACTTGCTAGGAATGCGAGTTTCAAAATTGAATAAGTTTCTTAATTCTTTTTATTTTATTTTATTTTATTTATTTATTTTTATTTATTTATTTTTTTTTTTGTAACAGCTGAAAATGTCTAGGTGAAAGGACTTAAGCCTAAAAGAAAAGGATGAATTGTTAAAACGTTCTTTGTAAATGGATCAAGAGAAAAATTGCATTTAAAACAGAAATTTCCCAAACAAACAACATTGTGCAATTTATTTGAACTATAAATATGCATGAAAGAACTAATAAAATATGCATAAATAACTAATAAAATTATAACAACTTTTGAAAAACTAATAAAATGTCCCAAGGAAGCACAAAAATGATGTAAATTTGAGACATTGAAACTAATCTTCTAGAATGGTCTCAAACTATCAAATTAAAAAATGTTAATATATTTAGAGCTTGTTTCACTATAAAGGATGTGGAATTCTCTAAAATGTTAGCAGAGAATTTGTATCAACTGAAAGATGGCTCATGAGTTGTACAGTGAGAAATTTAACATTTTCCATTGGAAACTAGATTGTGTTACACAATATAACTTGATGAATTAACATGTAATAGCAGCTGGTTTAAGAAATTGAAGGAATAAGCTACTATGTTATTAACATGAAATTATCGATCCAAAAATCAAAAGGACAGCACAGGTTGCTGACAAAAGCAGAAAACCTCAATGGTTAAAACAGTCAAGAATTTACCTCTAAGATGTCACAGCAACAAGAACTCATGCATAACTAGTAGTATTTTAATTGATTTTTTTTTAAATAGGCAAACCAAAAAGAAAGAAAGAAAAGGCTTTATTAATTAGATAACTGTGCTGCATACACACCTTTGATCCCTTTCTGAAGGAAAAAAAAAAAAAAAAATTGTCTCTTCCTGCAAATACAATTTCTAACAGTAAGCCTTTACACTAGGATATTAGCTTTCAAATGTCATTATAAAGAAGATGTTTAAAAAATGATAAACAGAACTGAATTTTGTGAAAATGCAAGTGTTTCAAAAGAGATAAATAAGCAAAAGTTAGACACCTTTTAATAGCACACACTGTCCTTAAAATACCAGAACTAACAATGTGGGAGTTTTTCATCTCTGGTACTTTGAAGAGTCCTTGAAAGGACAGAGGCTCCAATCAGACACCAGATCATCATCTTTGGGCAAAGTGGAATGAAAAGAATATGACTACATTAATGCTTGCACCATCTCTTCCCAAACAGAGAACCTTTTGTTTCAACAACCCTGGAACATGAATTCTTTAATCTTACTTTACACATATGTATCCACGAAAATTAATGCTTTTTTCCTTAGATTCCCTTTACTTCAGATGATTAAAACAGAAAATCTGCTCCTTAAAATTAATTATTTTTCAATTACTGAAGTAAATCAAAAATATCCATACATGTTCTAATTATGTTAGTTGAAGCAGTATAGCATTTTGGCTAGTGGACCAGCTTATTTGTGGGGTTGTAAAATTTTGCTGCAGATTTTCACTTATTCATAATATATGGTTATTGTCTTTGTTGCCCCATTCTGTATCTTCTCTCCTGGTTTTGAAGAGGAATCACTTATTTCCTCCACTAATTAGATGATTACCCTCATTTTGCTGAAATGGTCAGATTACACTTCAAAATGACTTACTGCATTTCTTTGCAAAATATTGTCTTCAAATCAAGTTACAGATAAAAATTTTAGGTCTCCCAAAAAAAAAAAAAAAAAAAAAAAAAAAAAGAGAGAGAGAGAGAGAGAGAATACTTACTGGCATAAAATTTCAGGTAACAAATACTTTTCCTATTAAATAACCTAAGGCAATCAGGGACCATGTAAGCAAAAATTTGAAATATCATGATAGCGCATATATTTGACATACTTTATATAAATTGACAAGAGATATAATTATTTTGCCTATTAAGTTTATTTCTTTGTCAAAGATTTAATCTTATGAAAAAATATTTTAATAAGTATTATAGCAAAACAAGATAAGCCTATTTAATCATTCAAACTTCCAAAATTTGTTTACAATTCTAAAATTCCATAAATTTTGCAATTTGGGGCATAAAAAGCTATTACATTATATACTTTCATATGTATACAAACATTTTCAGAAAAATATTTTATCTAAACTTTTAACACAGCAGTGTTACACACAACCACTTACCTGCAATCTGTTATTTGTAAAACCATAAAAATAAGGTGCTGAAAATAAATATCTATAAATGTCAAGGATAAGTCATAATTAAAAAGAAACCATCTGTTTTACTTTATTAATGAGAATTAATACTGGGAACAATAATTTATAATGATTTAAAAGCAATATAAAATTATAGACAAAATACAATTACATTAAATGAAAGCTATTTTTTCACAGCCACTACACTTTTATTGCTGTATTACACTTACACTGAGACTAATTGGTTTTTAAGTTCAAGGTACAAAAAATCAATCAATTGTGAGTTAAATGTGCTAACTTCTTACACCATGAGAAAAAAAGAATGTGATAATTCCTTGTGGTATAACAAAAATATTACATAATAGTATATTTATTTAACAGTACAAAAAAGCATTATATTAAAAGAATCATAGAATGGGTATAAGAAACAGTGTTAGGTAAACCAAATTTTTTATTTATAAATAAATTCCCCCTCCTTTGACAACACATTTTACCCTGTGTTTTTTTTTTTTTTTTTTTTTTTTTTTTGATGTGCTTAACTTCCAGAGAAAAATTCATCATGCTGTAAAAACCAGTCATTGACATGCATGCTAGGAAAAACATCCTGTATATTTTAAAGCAGAAGAAAATCACTTGGAAGAAAGATCTGGAAAGTATAAAGGATGAAATAACACCCCCCCCCCAATGAATCCTGCAGCAACTACAGTAGTTGTTGTCTTGCAGAGGTGAGTGAAAGTGCAGTTTCATGGTGATAAGGAATTTCCTTTCTTAGCTGCCTGCATTCATTTCATCCAAAATTCTTCAAACAGTTGTGCACATGAATGTGCATAATACTCCCTTGTGACTGACTGCTTTTAACACCAAAGGTGAACAATCAACAATCTTTTAGCAGCCCAAAAATTATAAGCCATGACTTTGGCTGACGATGCTGACACACAAAATTTTTTTGTTCTCAGAAGAATAGGCATATTTTGTTCTCAGAATAGATATGTTTACAGATCATGCTCTATTGTTTATTTTGGGGATCAAAGTGGCAGTGTACTCATGTTTAATCTATATTAATATATCTATAGTGTTATTTGCTACCATGTGTACAAACTCCTGGGAGGGTAAGTTACTCAAAAATGAATTAGAATCAGAGAGTAATGCATGTTGGATTGCATATCCAACATGCATCGATCCAACAACTCGATCCTAATACGATGGAGGAGTCGTAGGAGAACTGATACACTTCATTCAATAACCACCTGCATATGTCATAGGATGGAAAGTTTTACAAGTGCAGAGAGCATATGAAGCTACTAATTATAACAGGTGAGCTTTTATGTACCTGTACTAGGAGTGCTACCCGATAACACACATTCTGAACCACCAGATGTTTGCACGGCTGCATCAAAAATTATGTAAAATGGGTTTCTTCAAGACATATGCCATGAATCAAAAACAAATAGCCCTGAAATTGAACAGATGATGCTTCACGATGCAGAAGGCATTCCCCCCCAGACAATTTCAATTCATAAATAATTGTTACTCACTTCACTTCCCCCACACCAAAGTCTGGAGAATCTTGAACTCACCAAATGCACCAATACCATGAGCAGTGTGTACAACTGCTGTAGTCTGATGATTATCTACAGAGGATTCTTTTGCTCAGTGTTTTCTGTAGAAGAGTATGATAGACTCCCTTTTACTGGCTTCATTTTATTTACAGACAAGGCATGCTTCACCAGAGAAGGTTGCTGCAGTGCACATAACTCACATGTATGAACATGTGCAACATAACAAAAATTTCTTGTTAGTGTTTGGTGTTATGAGAGTCCATATCTCTCTCCTCTTTGTTTGGTTGGAAGTGCTAAAATTTCTTTTACAAAGTTTTGTCTGAACTGTTGAATGACTAACATATTTAGCAGTTGCTGCTCCATAACATGTGGTTCCAGCATTACAAGGTCCCAACCCATTTCAGCCATGATGTTTAGGAGCACTTAAATGCAACATCCCGACAACAGTGGATTGCACACGATGGTCCATTCATTGCATAAATGCCAGACCTATCTTCCCAGATTTTTTTCCTAAGATTACATGAAAGGTCTAGTGTGTGATACACCTACAACAGTGATAAAATCTAGTCACAAGCATCTGCATAGATGCCACAGCCATCCAAGAGATGTATTTCAAAATGTCTGTGACTCCATGAGCTACCAATCTTAGGATCCTGTTGCAGCTGGTAACTTAAAATTCAAATACCATTTATCATGTCTCTTAATATCAAAACTGTTATATTTTGATGAATATGATAGTGGTTTTTACTTATGTGATGCTCTTTCATTTCTGGCATTATCTGTTTATTTGCATATGATGATAGCATTTTTAACCCTACATTTCTATTTGTTCTATTTGCTTTTCAGTAACCTATTGAATCTATGGTATCAAATGAAATATCCAAAGTCTCTGCTATATACCTAATTGTTACTCATCAATCTGACATGACCATTTTTTTCATTTTGGAAATCATTTCCTCTATGGCTGATGTGAACAGAGGGGTAGAGAATGAATCACATTTACAAATTTTCTTGTGGCAAAATTCTGATCTATATTTGGCAAATGTGAAACAAACTGGGACACTAACATATAACGCGCACACAAATCCTTGTGAATATCCTGCATCTATACATATTTCAAACTAAATACTTTATCAACTTTAATTTTGTTCATCTTTGCATTTTTATTTGACACAATTCAGTCTTGGCTATTATACAGATATCAAATTTATCATTTAATTTCTGATACAGAATTATATAACACTGTGTAAAAATTTTATCTGAATTTGCCCATTTTTCAGCCTTTTTGGTACAAAATTTTGATTACCCTTTGTATTTTTCTGTAATGCTTAAGAAGTTAATTCAATAAAAAAAAGCAATTCTCATTGTCCTTTTTTCTAAATGGTGTGTGAAAAAACAATAAAGGATACAGAGAGTCTTCTGGAGGCATGTTAACTTCTCCATAGTAAATATAGCGTAGCAGTGTACTGAAAGACTGGAGGGAAGGAATCGTTTCTCCGATAGTTATCTGGAAAAAAAAAAAAAAAAAGCAGTTCACTATTAAAGACTCACAAACTAAAAGTCATTTTAGAGACTTTTGCATCATACAGTCACTGAGGCACAAAAGAATCGCCCCCCCCTCCATTGATTTTTTCTATTGCCTTATAACTTTGGTAAGACATAAAAAATGATGATTAATTTACTCATCATATGAATTAATAATATATAATGTCCTGGATAAAAATGAGATAAAAGTAAGGTATTTCAAAATTAACACTACAATTCCTATAATATCAGTAAGGTTTTTCAAAGGTCTACTGTGTGATACACCTACAACACATTATAAAAGGTCTAGTGTGTGATACACCTACAACACACTATTTCACACACTATTATAAAATCATTGTTAATGCTATAATTCCTATAAAATTAAAACTTACAGAAATATAATAAATTAATTCTTTTTCAATGAGAATGCTTAAATTGGCATGTAAATTCTTTTTTTTTTTTTTTTTTTTTTTGGGATACCTTTTCTTCTGTTATCTTTTTGTACGCTATTACTGTTTCTTTAAAAATTTACTTTAACTCTTTATGGGGTTTTTCTAGGGAAGTCAAAATTTCCCAAAATAACCATGATAAAGGGATATTTTCTGGATTTTAATGCCAAAATATCTCTGGTACTTTATACCTAGATTTATGTACACTGCTCAAAAAAAAAAAAAAAATGGGACAGTGCTATATCTCCCATTCTACTGGGGCGATTCACAAATTCAAATTGCGTTCTTCATGTCTCGAAAGCGCGACTTAGGATATATTAGATTTATATATAGCACTATTCTAACATAGGTATTTTGACACAAAATCGGACTTTTTCTGAAATAACATACAATTTTTTTACATATTTGATTCTACGACTCAAATTATGCCAGAATACCAAGTTTTGTAAAAATCGTACGAGTAGTTTTTGAAATATTAGCTCTCAAAATTTTAACTCCTCAATGTTAATGGAATTTGGCAAATATATTTATATACTCTTTTTTTATTAAACTTTTTTTTGATTTTTTCTCTCACATTCGAAATTTAGGTTCATTCCAAATAAAATTTACCCATTTTTTGTGTTTTATTTTTAATTTCTATTTTAAATAATTTTTATAAATTTTTCGAAAAAAATTTTGAATTATACCTATAAAATTTTTTACCATCATCTTAAAGTAGGTATATTTTTAAGCATATCTGCAAAAAATTAAGACTTTTTTATTCAAAATTTTCTAAGATATACACAAATTTACATATTTTCGCGTTTTGAAATTTGGCATCTTATTTTTGAGCGATAATAACGCCAAATGTGGTCTATGGATTTTTGTTACACTGTATTGCCACAGCTATTTTTAACCTTAAATTTCAAGTAAAATTTTACGGAGAATTAATTATATGACATTTTTTTCCCCTCAATGATGCGTAATAAATATTTATTAATACTATATGAAAAGCTTTTTTTATAAATAAATTTTTTAATATTTTTTTTAATTTCTCTCTATCTTTTTTTTTTTTTTTAAATAAGAGTAAATTCTTGTAAGAGTAAATTTTTACCTTCGGCGTTTTATCGTCTGCTACTTTACTTCGTTTAAATCGAATTGTCTAAAACTGAGAATTCTTGTTTGATGTTTATTTGAATTTATGACATTAACTGCACAATTTATTTCTAAACAAACTGATGCTTTTGAAGTGGCTAAAAGAGCGGCTGGTACTATCATCCATATTTTTAAAGCACAGTATATTTTTATAAACATAAGATTTAGAATAATCTTTTTATAAAAGTCAAATAATGATATAAATATACAAACCTCTAGAGACTGAATTAATGGAAGTTCAATGGTTATGTAGAAATGATCTGCAGCTACTTAATCGCTGGATAAGTCAGCAGATTCCGTGGACCAGTTAGAATAATTATATAAACGACACCCAACATTCTGAATTCAATTAACAACGAGGACGATGTTTATTAAATGAATTCAAGAAGTTTTAAAACATAAAAAATCAACTCATTTTTTATCCTAAAATGTATTTTTGTGCGTAGCGTATTTTCATTATTCTAATTTAAAATTCTAATAATTCTTAAAATCTAATTTAGAATGTAATTGTCAAGAACTGATTCCTAATCATCAGTAATATAATAAGTTATTATTACGGTTATTAAAATCCTTCTTATAAAGTAATTGCAAATATTTCAAAAAACTTTCTGTCTGAATGCAAATATTTCTCTGTGCAAATATTTTTAATTTTATATTAATCAAGATTGCACATGATATTATTTATTTGCACTTCAATTCTTAACGTCAGTTCTAGTAGAAGTTACAAATCAATTATATTTAATTAAGGATTGGATTGGATTGAATTGGATTATTTAATTATGGTAAAGCACACGAGGGTTATCTGCCTAAAGGGAGGGATGCCTTCATGGAGGACTTTCTAAGGGAAACTGGCTCGTATACACGTTACACATTGGGAAAACCACGAAAACACCCATGCAACCAGCCTGTTCGCGGGATTCGAACATCGGACCGAACTACCAGTGATCAGCGTCTTTACCGCTCGGCCGTTTGTGGGTCTTTATGAAATGGAAGGCGATTAACTTTATTTAAATGATTGTCAGAATATCAAATGTTTCGAAAAGTTGGATACTTTTAATATACTTTCAGAATGCTTAAAGAAAAAGAGAAGAAAAATTAATTTTTTCGTAAAATTTAGTATTTGTATTTTTTTAATTTAAAACTTTTCAATGTTATGATATTTGATTCTTTGCAATTTCAAAATAAAATATTTGACTAAAATGAATAACATTTTAAGAAACCAAGTAGGATAAAATTGTGTAAAGCAATGGGCACAATGATAAAACTGTTTAAAGCAGTGTATGCAACATCCTAAGTTAAAATGTCGGTTATACATCTCTCTTATTTATATATATCTTTTCTGAATGGAACATTGAAAGGCGTGTTAACTGTGCTTTACTGTATTTTCTCTTTTAATATATGCAGTTTTCAAATGCATCGTAGTCTGGGTTACAAAGTATTCTTCCAAAAAAAAAGAAATTCAAATAAATAAAATCAAATTCTGGAAAATTTATATTAATAAATATATTTAAAATGCTCAGTTCGAAGGAATAAATAGAAAATTTTTAAATAACACCTGAAGAGACAATGTAACAACATAAAATAATAGTCTAAAATTTAATTATTAAAATGTCGGTTATACATCTCTCTTATTTATATATCTTTTCTGACGGAACATTGAAAGCGTGTAAAACTGCGCTTACTGTATTTTTCTCTTTTACAGAGTACCTGACACAACAATTAAAATAAAAGTATAAAAATTTAAAAATTACCTAAAATAATAACTATGACGAAAATATATATAAAGAAACTATTTGAAAAAAAAATAACGCTGCACCTTTATTTACGCAGTTCGAATAGTAAATAGAAATTTTAAAACAGTATTCGAAAAAAAAAAAGTGCAACTTAAACATTAAAATGAAATTCGAAAAAGAAAAAATTACTTAAATAACAAGTTTAATTAAAAATATAATATAAAAATATTTTGGAAAGGAACGATGTGATTTTTTTTCCTCTCACGGGAAAGGAAACTAGTTGCCATATATTAGAAGTTCGCCAAGTGAATATTCTTGGCGCAACTGACAAAAAGTGCCAACATAATTTGTCAATTTCTCCGTAAATTTCGCTCCAAATTTTACAAAATTTCATATTTAGGCATAATTGAGTTGTAGAATCGAAATGTAAAAAATTGGTATTTATTCAGAAAAAAGTCCGATTTTGTGTCAAAATACCTATGTTAGAAAGTGCTATATATAATCTAATATATATCCTAAGTCGCGCTTTCGAGACATGAAGAACGCAATTTGAATTTTGTCAATCGGCACAGTAGATCAGGAGATATAGGACTGTCCCTTTTTTTTTTTTTTTTTTTTTTTTTTTTTTTTTTTTTTTTTTTTTTTTTGAGCAGTGTACATTAACCACATTGCCTTAATTTCTGGGACATATTTCAAGATACACATATACATATTTTTGTAAAGACATAATAAAAACTATTCATGCTGTATATATATATATATACACACACACATATAATATATGCTGTATTTATATACATATAATATATGCTGCATATATATATATATATATACTTATTTTGGATATATATATATAGATATATACAGCATGAATAGTGTATATATATCAGGGTGCATAGGAAAGTCCCTTTAACCTGAAAATTTTTGCGAATGGAGAGAGCTACAGTTATGCAAAAGAGGTAATGGTATAATAAAGCGACTGCACCCAACCTAATGCAAATGACAGCAGCACTCCTAGTTAGTGATGAAATTTGGAAGATAGGCATTGCAACTTGAAAATGAAAAGAGATAGAGCAAAATTTCCAATTAATTAGTTTTAGATAGTTCAGTTAATTAGTACAAAAAGACATTTGGTTCACATGTATAAGATAAATCGTTGCCTGTATACCCAAAGATGTCTGCAATTGATGCATGATGATTCTACTGTGCATATTTACATTTTGGAAATGTAGCAGTATGCAATAGCAGTCTGTGACATTATACTGTACTATAGGGTCTGTAAAACTTTAATTTCCAATGCATTTAAAATTTTAGTTTAAAAGGTGTTGGCTCTCACTTCATACAAACAGCATAATCTCAAACCTTGAGGGCAAATGATAACATTAACTTACTATCACTGTGCAACAGTTTTTTTTTTTTTTTTTTTTTAATCCAAAGGGCCTTTGTTCCTGGGGGACTATTGTTTTTGTTTTGGCATTTTGCGTTGAAAACTTTAAAAGTCTGTACCACTTTTCAAATTGTTGCCACCAAATATTATCGCCCTGTATTATATTTAAAGAAATTAAATAATGAAGAATTTGCATAAAGGTATGTATGTTTCTCACATAGTGATAAACAACGGTACCTAGAGCCATCAAATATTGAATGACATAATCCTATTGCAA